TTGAATGCCCTTTCATTCGAAGGACATAGTAAGTGCTTCCCAATTTGTTTGAACATCGCCCAACATGGCTAACCAAGCTATACCAAAAATATCAACACCCACGAAGGGAAACACAAAACAATTGGTAGGTACCTCACAATCGTGTAATGAGACCATAACATCCTGACATAATCCTTCGGATTCCCATATTCGTCCATCACCTAACCGAACTCCAAATCTTTCTATAGAGTAGATACTAAGAAAGAAGATATAAGATTGTGACTAGCACCACTATCAATCAATATTGTTACCTTCTTTCCTTGCGAAATTCCATGCACCCACATAGTTTGTTGGCTCGGAAAGCTCTCTACAAAGAAAAATATTAAGGTCCCCTTTTCTATTGATTAATCTCCTCGCTCTCCTATCCAATCTTCATCCCACGTTGGTACATAATATTCAAACTGTTGAAGATCTAAGACCTCTTTGTCTTCTTCAGCTATCACGACTCGCAATTGTTTGAGGGGACATTCATGTTTTGGGGTGTATCATTTCTTGCAGTATAAACATAGTCCTTTGGCTCATAATTCAGCAAATTCTTGGGTGAGAGACGGGTAAATTGATTCAAGGCTGATGACTAACTAGTTACCTCCAATTGGGCCACGGAAGGATGACCGCAAGGTTTGCTAATAGACTTTGCGTGCGCAAACTGTTCAAATTTTGATATGGGTGACTGTTAACTTGCACTTGAAGATTATTCTCAATGTCTTTAGAAAAATCCATGGTCATGTCTAAGTCTCTAGGCCGAAGAAAGCGGAGGTAACTTGAATCGAGTCCTTTAGACCTTTCATAAAGTATCCTAGATAGTTTGTATTTTGTCAAACCAGGAACTTGGCTAGACAATTGAACAAATAAAGTTAAGTAGTCATCCACTAATTCCTCTTGTTTAATGACTGCCAATCTTTTGACAGACTGTCCTTGAAATGCGTATCAAATCTTGCCACTAGCGCTTGCAAAAATTCTTCCCACGTCAACCTCGGTTTGCGAGGCACAATCAGGTTGACCAGTACAATGCAGCTTCTTCCATGGGCACCACGGCTGCAGACACCTTCATTTCAGAACTGGTGTTATGAATTTTAAACTGTTGATTGGTGCAGGCCAACCATCCTATCATATCTGAACCATTAAAGGATGGAAGTTGCATTGGGCCCCATCTGTGATCAGAAGTTAATCACCGGCTGCAGTGGCACAACGGCTGGGGGCGGCAGTGTTGGTTAGTGTGGCGCGGCTGCAGATGGCGGCGGTCTGCCACCCTCCGCCGTTGTGTTATCCTCGACATAGTGGTCGATTTCCGATTGTTTCGATCTACAGGGTTTCAAAATTACTTTTGAGAATTCAGCAAGAGTCGCCATGATCTCTGCAAGTTGGATGTTAGTAGCCTTCATGTTCTCATTCATCTTGACTTGAACAACCTCAAGTTTGTCCAGTCGCTCTGTTGTTGATCGTGTTGTTGCCATGACGATCGGAATCGGAATCAGGCAGGTCTGACCATTTGATAAAAACAAAATAAATGATAAGAACAATCAAACGATATTAATCATTTGGCTAAGAACAAGCAAACTGTACCAACCGTTTGCCCAAAATCTGACGACTACTTTACTTCCAAAGTTCAAGAATGATTGTCCCAAACCCTAGTTTCTCTTTAAATACTATTACTTAAACCCTACTTACTAAATATAAAATAAGACAACCCAATAACTAAAGACAAGTCCAACTCAAAATATAATATACTACCACCCCCATCGTCAATACACAAGTATTTTCCAAGTCTCAGTTTTCTCTTTAATCTTAACTTGATTTTGCTTTCTATCATACAATGTTGGTTACGGATTATGTAGAATTAGATGATAATAACAAAAGTTTGAACGATGTTGGTTGTGATTATTTTGAGAAGAATATCGTCATAGTCCATAGGTTGGGATTAATCGGAAACACTACAAAATGCAATCTTCATGATTCTACATGAGACATGCTTTGATGAAGAAAAATATATAAATTCTTTGTCCCAAGATCAAAACAAAAATAGAGTAGAAGCGCCTTCATGTCCCACATAAGCATTGTCCACTTTTGGGTTTATAAAATTCCCATTGTCCCTAAACCCTAAACCCATAGTTGCACAGCCCCCGTCCTTATAGGCTACGTCGATCATGCATTCTTTTTATCACCACACTTGTAGGACGAAAAGATGACATAATCCCACAACATCAAGCCCTTTTCCTTCGCAAATCCATCCTAGCCTCAAGTGAGCTCTAGCTGCTTTTCCAACAGCAGTACAGGAACTTCCAGGACCTCATGGAACAGTAGAAGAATAGAATCAGCAATCAATCAGCAAACCTTGCAGTGTAAGACCCATCTCTGACCATGGAAAGGAGAGATTGGGTGCTGAACTGGCTCTGAAAGTTTGGCTCTTTGAGAGTGGTGTTGGTCCACGAGAAGTTCCAGTCGATTTTTCCACTGCAGAGTCGGATGGTGGCGCTATCATATGCTATATAGTGGATTCAGTTTCGGATTTCAAGGTTCCTAGCCGGATGCGCTGATGGTCAGCATATATCTGTGCACCCCAGTGCCCATTGACTTTGCATACCACACCTTTTAATTTGGAAGCTGAGGCCACTGCAGGATGGGACCTGCTGCCGGAGTCAGATATGTCACCGTTAGACGAGTTTTTTGCTGAGGTGTTGGAAAAGAGGCTCTCAAAGTCAATGACTAGTATTGGAATTCTTGCGCATTTAAATGTTGTTACACTAACTACAGATCAGTAAATACTCTAATCGCAACTTTAGTTATACCAATTGAAAACATTCTTTCGATAAAAGTAATTAACATGTATTGAAGCAGCAGCTATCATGGGACCTTCTACAATACCACCGAATGGAGTTTCTAATTAATAGAATGTGAAACAGACTCTACACACATACAAAAATAAATAAATAAATAAGAATTAAGGATAGAGGACTAACTAACGAAACATGTTCCTAATAAAAGGTACCAATAATTATTACTTGAAACTTAAATATTTTTTTATACTTAAACCAAAGTAAAATTTATAGCATCGCATGGAATTGACATTATTCCATAATTAAATATAACTGCAACAATAAAAATAAGTAATATCAAGAGCAAGTAATTATTACAATGTCAGTTGAAATGTAACATTTTCTTAAAAAGCACATATGGATGAAAAAAAGTACAGAAGCACACACAAATATTAAAATAAATATATAAAATCCGAGAAAATACAAGTAAACTAACAAAAGGTAACCTTCTACCAAAAAAGAAAAAACAAAATTAATATAGATGTAAGTTAATTAAGAAATCTCATATATTGTGGGTTCGCCATTTGCGCAGGTAAGGTCCCACTGGTTGTTATCACAAAAACAAACCCATGTTTTGCTGTCATAACATCCACTATTTTTTTTAATACATCATGAAAAATATGCCAATAAATTCATTTATGTAGCTTAACCGTTATGGAAAGATAAATATGTTAAGAACGATTATTGTCAAAGAAAACAATCAATGTAGTTTATTTATGTAGCTACATACTAAACGAACAACACGGTTTATGGCAAGTGCAATAATTTACAGCTTCACGACGCGTGGCATAACATTATCCGATGCATATATAAATTCTTATAATGCAATAAAATCATACAAAAGTAAATAAAAACACTTAAAACACATGTAATCTAAAAAGTTGGAATAGGAGAAATTATTAGTATCTTGAAATATATAACCTCTTCTTCGTTGACTGTGAGAATAGTCATTTTGAAGTTTTCGGAACGGGAAGAACCTGCAAACACAAGGTTGGATCAAATTCTTATACTTCGATCACAATTTCAAAAATCTCCATTGTATAATATTAATTACTGGAGGAGTTGAGCATGGTTAGGTTAGAGGTCGATCTACCCACCCTAGAGAAAGAGCATAGAATTGTCATCATTTCACAAACTCCAACCGATCGTTTAAAATAAGAAAAAGAATGATAAAAGAATATACATCCTGCTTACTACATTCAGAGCTAATACCTAATCTGTAACTATACCTTCACCATGTTGAGAATAAATTTAATTAAAGGTTGTGGGGTTAGTGGTTTTGAGGTTACGAGTTGTTTAAAATTCCTATTGACTAGAAATTAAGTTGTATTCATACTTTGTAACTTCTTGTTTTTAATCTCCTATTATTAGGATGCCTTGATGATGGAATGAAAAACTAAGTTTGAAAAAACGCAGAGCATCATCGATAAAGATTTGTTCGATCCAGTGCATTTTTGTGTCTTGTGATAAAACCAGATTTTAACACACCGGGCAGACATTGAAGAAGAGTTTTCTCCGGCACCAAGCAACAAGCGGTCAGATCTGCCGTACATAACAACTGCATGATTGGGTATTTATAACAAGAGTGTCCTAGGGTTTGGTGCCTCTACAACAAGTCAAGGCGGCGCCCAACCAAACTTTAACTGTAAAAAAACCCTAAATTTCTAATTATTTTGTTTTCATTTTTATATTTAAAAGTAAAACAATTAATAAAAATCTAACTGTGCTCTGGTCACGGGATTCTTTCTACACATCAATCCGCTCTGCTCACTTTTACTGTTTTACTTAGACTAATTGTTTTTCGGCTTTTTCTGATTTAAAATCCAACCTAAACATTCGTCAGTATAAAAGAGTATAAATGTGTTATAAAAAAAATTGGGGTATTTATATCCTGTCTTATATATAAATATATGTTGTGTGGGGTGGGATTACATGTTGAAAATTAAGCATCAACATTGTGCTGATTGCATATTAGCCATTGGATTAAAAATTTTAATCCAATGGCTAATATTAAATTAAGGATGTAATTGTAATTTTAATAACCCTAATTTATATAACTACATCAAACCACACCCTCCTTTGTTCTTTCACGCAGCAATCGGTGGGGAGAAACGCCATCCTTCATTTTTCACTCTCCTTCATTCTTCAATGGATGATATCGACGAAGGTGAGCATAATCAATTTTCCATTATTCCAACCATATTCAATCGCTCAGCAAGCAATGAAGACATCGAAGATTTTGCAATTTCAGATGACCTAACACCTTCGCCAATACCAGACGCACCCTTTCGAAAAAACCATCAATCGCGTAAGTTACCCATTGACAATTGACTGGAAATCATGAACATCGTAACCTTCTATGATCGATTTCATTGAAATTACGTGATTCTGTTTAGTGCTTTGGAATTTTGTAAATAATCTTTAGCATTCGCAATTCAATCAGAGCCTTCAAACTACTACTAAAAATAAAATGTAGCACACCGTTCAAGTAACATCAGTATTTCCATATGAAGAGAACAATATATCATTTTAATTACCAGTATGATATGTAATTGTATTTGATACAGATAACAGCATCTTTCCATTTATCTTAAAACATATTGAAATATGGTGGTAAGCATTTTGATTAACAGAATCTAGCATTCTATATGTGCAGAGTTCATAGATTGGCATGCTATGGAGTTTACAAAACCGGATGATGCATACAATTTCTATTGTGAGTATGCACACAATATAGGCTTTTCAGTGAGGATAAAAATGCAGAAAAAATTCAAAAAGGACCCGCAACAGATACAATACATGGAGTATTGTTGCAACAAAACAGGGTTCAAAGAGGGCAGCAATGTAAAATCAAATCATCCTGAGATTCATCCAAACAAAAACATCGAGTCAGAAAGGATAAAGATCATGCATCGTAGTCATGAAACAAGAACAGGCTGTAATTCAAAGATACAGCTTCAGTTTGACAAGGAGAATGCAAAGTACAAAGTGACATATTTTGAAGACAACCACAATCATGATCTACATCCTCCAAAACACAAGACATGTTTGTATCCAATTGTAGGATTGATGAATCACATTTAATCATTGCGAATACAAATCAGGAAGCTGGACTACCAATCAGATCATTGTACGATTTGATGAAAATAGCCGCTGGAGGAAAGGAAAATGTGGGGTTTTTTAAGTTGGACCTAAAGAATCACATGAAGAAAAGAAGGAAAGAAATTTTCAAGGAGGGCGAAGCAAATGCATTACTGCAGTATTTTGGCCAAAGATCGGTGGATAATACCTTATTCTTTTATGAAATTGAAGTTGATTATGAAGATATGATTGCTAATATATTCTGGTCAGATGCAAAAATGAGGGAAGACTACGCATTGTTTGGGGATTCTATTACGTTTGATACCTCATACCAAACAAATAAGAACCACAGACCACTAGGTAAACATAGTTAGCATTTCATCTCAATAACCAGCATTTCATCGTCAATTAGTCAGCATTGTAAATACTGTCTGTCAGCATCTTTATACATCTCACATAGCGTCTTATGTATATATCTGATCCTAACAATATTTCATATTCAGGTGTTTTCGTGGGATTTAATAACCACCGCCAAACATCTATATTTGGGGCAGCATTGTTGTACGAGGAAACACAAGATTCATTCAAGTGGGTTTTCAATACCTTCCTAAAGTGTATGGGTGGACAAGCACCGAAAACTATTTTTACGGATCAAGATTTGGCTATGGCTCCAGCACTAAGAGAGACAATGCCAACGACATACCATGCTCTGTGCACATGGCATATTGTACAAAATGCCAAAAAAAATCTCAGTGCTCTTTACACTACAAGGTATGTTGGAATTCTTATAGCTAAATGATGAATTGAGGGTCGAAGACACCAATTACAACTACTCTACATGCATTTTACACACAGGTTTGCCGAGATGTTTCAACATATTCTCTACGGGGTACAAGATGAAAACCAATTCAGCCTCAAGTGGGAGTATATGTTGCAGGCATGCTTCCCCAAAGGGCCTCATAAGTGGCTATTGAATATTTATTCATTGAGACAACAATGGTCTTCGGCTTGGACAAGACAACACTTTACTGCAGGGATGAGAACAACACAACTGAGCGAATCACTTAACTTCTCACTGAAAAAGTTAGAAAATGCAACCTACAAGCCCCTAAGCTTTAGCAACTGAACATTCTTCTAAACACTGACTGTCTTTCAATGGTTTCTAGAGCAACACCAAAGATCCTTTGAATTCATAACACAATGCTTAGATGAAAAGACAACATATCTTTTATATAATATGGAGAAGACAAGCGATCAACATCTTGTGCGCGCCAATATTCAAGAGTCTTCAATTGAGTGCACGTGCAATATGTGGAAAAATACTGGAATGTTGTGCTGTCATTCAATACGCATGATGGATGTATTGGTAGCAACATGGTGTGCACAGTTCAAAAACATCCCAGACAAATACATATTGAATTGATGGAGAAAAGATGCTAAGAGGATGTTACAACAGCACCTCGCAAGCTTAACATCTAGTCGGGAGGAAATGGATTTTTCAGGAAGATACAAATCATTGTGCCACTTGTTCATGAATTTTGCAAACTTAATAGCATCTCAGCCGAAGAACTACAGTTCATTTTTACATAAATTCAATGAATTGCTTCGCAACACAGTTGCATGCCCAAATCTGTATGGAGAAATGCCGACGGATGAAAACAACAATTACATTTTGTATATATTTTATATTCATTGAAATATATATGATATTAAATTAATCGATTCTTCATGCTACAGGACAAGTGCGTAATACAACCACTGCAGGCCATTTAATATTGAAGCCAAAAGACAATCCAAAAGGAAGAATTAAAAGAAAGGTGTGAATCAGCAACTATGAGAGACAAAAAAAACATTGAAGGATAAATAAGAGAGATAACCACCGGGATAAATGTATGTAAGGAAATTGATTTTTTGCCAGTTCATACATGATTTAGTACGAAAGTATTGTGAATAATTGACACTAAGCACTTACATATACAAGACCATGGATTTTGTCAAATAACAATAAGCATCATCCTGAGTACCAATAAGCATTTTCTACAAATCTGCCAGCATATATATACACGAAGCCAATCATTTTACTATGTACCGGTCAACATCTCCTGATTTAACATCGAGCAACTTGAGTATTAAGCATGAATTTATGCAAAAAATACAATCAACAAATCAATCACCAATTAAACTTCAACCCATCGATGAATGCCAACAATCCATTCAAATTAATACAATTCGACCAATACCAACAATCCCTTCAAATTCAATTAATCAATGTCAACAAATCAGTCATCACACTCAATTTTTGCCTTGCCCACGACCTTGTCCTCGACCACGCCCTCGCCCTCGCCCTCGCCCTCGACCTTGCCCTTGCACACTAACACATTTTCGTGCAGCCATCTTAATACGACCCTTCAACAGTTGTGCATCAGCTTTTTCATCTTCAGCGCGTGCAATCTTAGCACCAGAAGCAAGCAATGACCTCTCTTTCACATCCCTAATATTACGATTCTTCTCCTGCAATAAGATTTGTACACAATACCTTTTTCGCAATCTATCCAAAAATTCACGCCTGGCAATTTGCTCACGAACCTGCCCAGTCAAGTCAATGGGCCAGTTTTCCATGTAGAACAACACAGTGAAAACACCACAACTGTGGATATCCGGCTGCATAACATGGGGTGGCAACTCAACTGTATAATGGGCATCCCACCGTAGGTCGGGAAATAATATCCTTGCAGCCCGTCGGAAATACCCAAAAAGTTGTTCAAAAACCACTGAGTCCGAATTCCATCCATCAACAGCATTTAAGCTATTGAAATAAAAAATTTTCTTACGAAGAATGGACATGGAAAACAACATCCAGTTGTTCGAACGACAGAATGGGAAAAAGAATTGCAATAATATACACAAAACCAACTTAGCATATCACAAAGCATCATATCATCATCTCAGCTTTTTAAACTCAGCATTCCATATATACATAAAGAAACACTCATATTTTCAGCCTTTAAGCATTCAATCCGATCGTTGCCAAGGTATTTCATGTCCAACTGTCGTTCCCATTCCTTCATCAGTTCTTTGTCAGTTTTCCGGGGAAAATTATTCTCGATCTCAACGCGCACCATATACTAGATGCATAGAAAAATATAGCATCAGTTAAGGTTTGCCATAAGCATCAAATGCTCAACAAGTTTTAGCATTATATATGATCAATAATTATCGTCGATACAAATTTTATGCACATGTAAATATATACTCACAGCCACGTTGGATGATACACAAAACTTGGGCATTGGAACACCGTTGTGCTTGCTTTCTCTTAAAGCTGATCTATTCAGAAAGATACCAAATGTATCAACCACGTTGCTTGCAACGTCGGATGATGGACGTAAACTCTGGATATAATGCTTGAATATCACAGTGACTCCATCCGAAAAAATAATATCTCCCAAGTCAGCCGCTGATGTGCGTTGTAAATAAAATGCCCACTTGACAGTCCTCTCTTCCTCCTCACTCAACTTGAACATATCAAAAATACTGGAGGAAGTTTCATAGGGAGAATAGAAAACTTTCGATGGCAATCGATCGCGATGAACCTTAATTTCTTTTGTCTGGAGCTGGGGAAGGGAGGACATTGGAGGTGGATTTTTTCTCGTTCAGTTGACTCATATAAAACAATTTCCTGCCAAATAAATTCATTAGTCTTAAAAAAGGTTTCATATATGCAATTATAAACAAAGCTAAAAGGCAATATATAATTAGTTATACCTTGCAAGTACTCAGCGTAATTTTGGTTGGCGAATCTTCCTTCATAGGTCTGATAGCATTATCAAAATCCTGTGTTAACCCAAGTGAAAAAAGACTCATTGGGTTAACATCAATTTCTGCATCGCATTGTTTCTTTGTGGGAGGTTCACAATCCGCTCCCTCAGTTTGCACTTGCTGCTATAACAATGATCAAGAATATATTCTTAATTAATTGAAAATATAGAGGATATAATGGTTATCTAGCAATGATCAATTACAAATACCTGTTCAGCAGTTTTTTCATCATGGGCAAGTTCCTCCTCCAGAGGCAAATCGCACCCAACAAATTCCTGTGATAATAATCAGGATTAAAGTTTGTATACATTGTAATTGTACAAGAAAAGGAATTGATATTATATAACATAACAAGATGAAAACTACAAACTTATACAACTTAAATCACCTTCTCTACATTCTATCCATGAAGACCTTCATCTTCATTGACAGCTTTCTCCGGCCGGGGCAAATCACACTAAAAAAATTCCTATACAATATTCAGGATTAAGGCTTATTTACATTGCAATTGTATAAGAAAAACAATGGATATACTACAGATCAGCTCATAACATTGAAATCACTAACATTTTTTTCAGAAAATTTGCTGCCATCAGAAGTGTCATCTTCATGGCCCTCACACTTCTTCTTGTATTCTTTCTTTAAATTGCGGAGTTTTTTGGACACCCGCATAATCTCATTCTTGTACCACTGTATCAAGGAATCAAGACAACAATCCAAAATCACTACTTTAGCACTTCAACAAGTATTACTTAGCATACCATATTGGAACAATCAACAGAAACAAACAAACAATATGTAATCATCCTACCCTGTATTAGTTAATGCATCAAATCCAGCATCTCAGAGATATTAATCCAGTATATCAACAACTGTTGATTAACATATCACAGTGGACCACTCAACATGAAAAAACAAACATGTATACTATCCTGCTCTGTATCAGCTAATACATCAAAATCCAGCACTTCGGAGATATTAATCCAGCATATCAACAAAGATTGCTTAGCATATCAATAAGTATTGCTTATACCACAGTGGAGAAAGCAGCGGGAAAAAACAAACAATATGTATACCATCCTCCCCTGTACCAGTTAATGCATTAAATCTAGCATTTCAGAGATGTTAACCCATCATATCAACAAGTATTGCTTTACATATCACAGTGGAACAATCAGCAGGCCAAATAAACCATGAACTCGGTGTATTCAAAGTACATATTTCAAACTGGATGACAAAATCTAACCTTTGCAGATCGAACTTTTTGAGGGCCGAAGAGCTTGGCAACATCTTCCAATGTTATTTTTCGCTTGAGATGACATGAAAAAAAGCGTACACCGCATTTCTCGTTGTGGAACTTATCAAAAAACATATGCTGAAAATAAAAAAAAATAGCATATTACACAATGAGAACAATAAAACAGAAAAGAAAACAAATTGATCACGATATTTTAATTTACCATTAAACAATGCATGTCCCCGGATGGCCTTCCACTGAACAAAGCTTTTTTATTGAGTTTTTTAGACATTGTATCCAGACCCTCCACAATCTTATCCCGAACAAAACCAGCCCAATTAAACTCATTTGCCAACTCCTTCGACTCAAGGAACTGGAATATGCGATGATTAATCTTCCCATTTGATATGAGCGTAAGCAAGACACACATGCAATACATTACATATATCCGCCAAAAAAACATCACTCCTTAGTCTACTACTATCTAGTAACTCCTTTAACAAAGACTCAACTATATGTTATTTATCCGTTCCTATGAGTTTCATATCTAAACTAAATCTATCAGCAAAATTGTAAAAAGAATCAGACTCTTACAGTGAAATAGGTTCCTTATTTTTGCTATATGGCAGCCTATAGACAACACCAACATCCCGATCGGTAATATACCACTTATTTTCATTAGATAAATGAAAGCACTCGCTATCAGGGTCCCAATAACTCAATAATTTCATGATAGGAGCCACGGGAATAGCCATTGGCTTCACATGTAACAATCATTTGAAAGGGCTAGTTTGAATATACCTCCGAATCGAATCTCGACAAGGTTTCTGTAAAGATTCATTGAGGTGGGCGACCTTTCTCGGAACGCAAGGCAGTTGAATGATAAGATCCTTTGACATTGTTGATTTCTTTCAAAGATTTGCGATTAATGGGACTAGGGCTTCGCGAATTCAAACTAGGGCTTTTCCAAAACTACAACAACAAGAACAACGATTTCACTTGGGTAACATGGAAGGGGAGAAACATTTAACCAACGATTAAACTTTCAATACTTACCGAATCTTGGGAGC